TTGGGAGGCCAAGGCAGGTGGATTGCTTGAGCCCAGGAGTTCAAAACAAGCCTGGGCAACATGATGAGATTCCATCTCTACCTCAAAAAATACAAAAATTAGCTGGGCATGGTGGTGTGCACTTGTAGTCCCAGCTACTCAGGAGCCTGAGATGCAAAGATCACCTGAGCCCAAGAGCAAGGCTTCAATGCGCTGTGATTGTGCTACTGCACTCAAGCCTGGGTGACGGAGTGAGACCCAAGTTTGCTTTGTCTTTTAAACACGTATGAGCTCTGCAGAACTTCACAACTTGATTTGCTGTTTGCTAGTCTATAATATATGTTATATATGACGTTTTGGTTTTTATTTTCTTTGAGGCTTTTTATTGTTTACAAACTTTTTGAGAGAGTTCCGCTCTTGTTGCCCAGGCTGGAGTGCAGTGGCATGATCTCAGCTTACTGCAACCTCTGCCTCCTGAGTTCAAGTGAATTCTCCTGTCTCAGCCTTCTGAGTGGCTGGGATTATAAGCTCCCACCAACACGGCTTACTAATTTTTGTATTTTTAGTAGAGACGGGGTTTCACCATGTTGGTCAGGCTGGTCTTGAACCTCTGATCTTAGGCGATCCACCCGCCTTGGCCTCCTGTGGGCCACCGTGCCTGGCCTACAAACTTATTTTTTATTCACAACAAGATAGCTAAATAATCTCTGACTAAAGCTACTGAAGCAGGCAACAGGATCTGAAATATGAAGCTGAAGACTATAAAGTGAGGTGCTTTTGCCTGCCCTTTTTTTCTGTGCTTCATTTCTCTGCTTAGCATTTTTCTGTTTTGGCCTAGACCCTCTATCCTGAAAAGACCTACCTTATTCCCTTGCTGGCATAAAGAGGGGCAGAAGGAGCACATTTATTTCTGGGAGCATCCCTAACTCCTGGAATGGTAGTGGTGGGAATTGTGCAATGAACCACAGACACTAAGAACTCCCTGGCCCTCATTCTTATCCCACATTCCCTCTAGGTCTATTCTTTGTTGTAACAAATGTTAAACATGTATTCTGCTGGATTGATACAGATCAGATCTGTTCCTCCAAACATGGAGTAGAGAAGGATAGCACACCTATGTGTTCATGTAGGGGGTAAAGAGAGAAAAAAAGCAAAGGGTAGTGCAGTTACTTTTTTTTTTTTTGAGACAGTTTCGCTCTTGTTACCCAGGCTGGAGTGCAATGGTGCGATCTCGGCTCACCACAACCTCCGCCTCCTGGGTTCAGGCATTTCTCCTGCCTCAGCCTTCTGAGTAGCTGGGATTACAGGCACGTGCCACCATGCCCAGCTGATGTTTTGTATTTTTAGTTAGAGATGGGGTTTCACCATGTTGACCAGGATGGTCTCGATCTCTTGACCTCGTGATCCACCCGCCTCGGCCTCCCAAAGTGCTGGGATTACAGGCTTTGAGGCACCGCGCCCGGCCGTGCAGTTACTCTTTACAGGAACCGAGAGTCGGGGGATGGGCCCTCAGGTTCTATTTTGCTAGTCCAAGAAACTTGTCCAAGTGCTAAAAGATTGTCTAATTGTATAAATGCAGCTCCATGTTATTGCTAAAAATTCAAGCTTTACATGAAACTGTGACTTACATGGACAAAAGTAGAATAATATGAGTGTAGGTCTATTGTTTTCTTGATCTTTTTCCCTTCATTCATGATGTGCAGGAAACATCCCTTTAAAGGGCTCTATTGACCCCCATCATTGGGGTACGTTAATTTGATCGTTTCATTATTGGGTCTTTCTTCCACTCGCTCTTATTTCACCCATTGTTAAACCTTTCCATCTTCTTGTTTTTCCTGAGAAAATACAATAAGTGAACAGGGATTTAAAATGCTTAATAAAACTAACAACAAAAATGAGCTAGCAATTGAAATTTTTTTTTTTTTTTTTTTTTGAGACGGAGTTTCGCTCTTGTTACCCAGGCTGGAGTGCAATGGTGCGATCTCAGCTCACCACAACCTCCCCCTCCTGGTTTCAGGCAATTCTCCTGCCTCAGCCTCCTGAGTAGCCGGGATTACAGGCACATGCCACCATGCCCAGCTAATTTTTTGTATTTTTAGTAGAGACGGGGTTTCATCATGTTGACCAGGATGGTCTCGATCTCTTGACCTCGTGATCCACCCGCCTCAGCCTCCCAAAGTGCTGGGATTACAAGCGTGAGCCACTGCGCCCGGCCTTTTTTCTTTTTTTTGAGATGGAGTTTCACTCTTGAGATTATAGGCGTGAGCCATCATGCCCAGCCATAACATCTTGGATTTTTAACTTAAGAGGACCTGGAATTAAAAGTTCTCATTTTGTTAGATATGGATGATTAAAGCATTTAAAAATTTGTTTCCCAATATACATACTATCTTAATAAACAAGATGCAAGAAAATTCAAATTGGTGAAACTACTTGTGGGAAACTTTTAAATTCAGGTAGTAGGATTCATCTAGATCTGTGTTGTCCAATATGGTATCCTCTAAATACACGTGGCGTTTTACATTCAGGAGGCTGAGGCAGGAGAATCGCTTGAACCTGGGAGACAGAGGTTGCAGCAAGCCATGATCGTGCCACTGCACTCCAGCCTGGTGACAGAGTGAGACTCTGCCTCACTCTGTCAAAAAAATTAAATAGTATCTTGGCACAGTGGCATACACTTGTAGTCCCAGCTACTTGAGAGGCTGAGGCAGAAGGAATTTGAGGCTATAATGTGCTGATCGTGTCTATAAATAGCCTCTGTATTCCAGCCTGGGCAACATAGCAAGACCCTGTCTTAAAATAAATAAATACATAAATAAATAAATATTCACTTCTTCAGTTGTGCAGGCTACATTTCAAAGTGCTCAGTAGCTGCATGTGGCTAGTGGTTACTTTATTTAACAGCATAGGTTATACATCAACATAATCATCATCATAGAAAGTTGTTAGTGCACAGTATTGAGCTAGACAATGAAAGCTATTTTTCCAGCCAGCCACGGTGACTCACACCTGTAATCCCAGCACTTTGGGAGGCCGAGGCCAGTGGATCACTTGAGGTCAGAAGTTCAAGACCAGCCTGGCGAAGGCTGGAGGCTAAGGCAGAAGAACCACTTGAACACACTTGAACCCAGTGAGGTGAGATTGCTCCATTGTACTCCAGCCTGGGTGACAGAGTGAAACTCTGTCGAAAACAAAACAAAACAAAACAAAACAAAACACTGTTTTTCCAGCCAAGAGCAGTGGCTCATACCTAAAATCTCAGTACTTTAGGAGTCCAAGGCAGGAATATTGCTTGAGCCCTGGAGTTGAGACCAGCTGTTTATACCATACTTCTTCCTTATCCTGTTTATCTTCCTAATACATTTTACGTGTTTTCTTCTGGAGAAACCTTTATGCAATTTTCTGCCCACATTTTTATTGCACTTCTAAGATGTCCATCCGTTTTCTTTTTTTTTTCTTGCAAAACACCTCAAATTTTACTCATGGTACAAAAGTATTTAATAAGTGACAGATCAGTACAGAAAAACACAGAGCTTATAGCTTTTCCTTTAAAACCAGAATGGCCAAGTGAAAAGTCAGTACAAATTATTATTTTTACTATTAAAAGTCAAAGGGACACTCTGGGAATTGGACTACTATGCTTTTTTCTTTCTATGCTTTTTTCTTTCTAGAGATGACGTACATGTTTTCTGATAAGTAATCTAACACACACTGCACTACACCAAAGCAGACAAACAGCCAGTAAAGCTGTGTTCTACCTCTACTCATGCTGGGCTGGGCAGTGGAACACCATCTTGGTAGGAGAGATTTTGACAGGAAAAAACTGCAGTCCCTACCTAAGCCAGAGAACCTGACAAACTGGTTTATACGGAAGGATTTTCAGCAAACATGCAAGCACACTAACATACTATAAGAATCTGTTTTAGTCTATTTCTAGCACACAGCATACATTAATCGGTGCCCAGTAACATAGGAACAAACGCCAATGTAGAAAGCATTTTTGCCTTCACAGCACTAACACCTAAAAAGCTCACAGCATATGATACTTTGATCTTTTACGTGGATAATCATGGAAGTTCTAAGATCACATCCACTAGGTTAGCCTGAGTATTCATCTATAAAAAAATTTTTTTTTCCCAAAAATAATGCTTAAAGGAGTCTTCTAGAAACAGTGGGGACTAAATCAGAACCAGAAGACAGTGACACTAGGACTGGAAATGTTAGGACTTTAGGGTGACTTTTCAAGTGGAGCTTTTATGCAGAGGATGTCTCTTTCTTTTGGTTCCCACAGCTGAGACAAGCTGTGATCACAGGAGATTCCGAAATCTCAAGATGAGCTAGAGTAACACCCTAGATAAACATCAGGAACCCCACTGAGGCTGAAGTACTAAAACCATGACCCATGTGAAAAAGGGGTGCAAGGGAACAAAAAGATTCAGGCCGAGCCTGCTGGGACAGGGGGTGGTGACAGCGGGTTAATCCACACTCACACACCAGCATGTGTGCTGAGGGAAGGGCCTCCCCAGGTGGAGTGCCTGACATGGGCTCACTCCAGGAGAGTCTGACTCAGAAGCTCCTGAGAGAGGTGTCTACTTGAGGAGAGGAATACTATGGTAAATGAATACAAGGTGTTGCAGGAGAAACAGGTCCAGGAGGGGTTAGGTCATTTTGGTTTTGACCTATCAATACTTAACATACACGAAGAGTTACATGAGTCAGTCTTTTTTTTTTTTTTGAGATGGATTTTTGCTCTTGTTACCCAGGCTGGAGTGCAATGGCACGATCTCGGCTCACCTCAACCTCCGCCTCCTGGGTTCAGGCAATCCTGCCTCAGCCTCCTGAGTAGCTGGGATTACAGGCACGCGCCACCATGCCCAACTAATTTTTTTGTATTTTTAGTAGAGATGGGGTTTCACCATGTTGACCAGGATGGTCTCAATCTCGACCTCATGATCCACCCGCCTCGGCCTCCCAAAGTACTGGGATTACAGGCTTGAGCCACGGCGCCTGGCCTTCAGAGTCAGTCTTTTTAAGATGTATTCTGTCGTCATGAGCTGAGGCTATTGGGCCGATGACATCAGAATGATCCCATTCATTGGCTAGAGGTAGGACCTAGTGCTGCAGATTGGGGAAGCTGGCACAGATGATGATTTGCACAACGATGTCACCACTAAGCCACTGCTTAAATCCAGTCCTCGGCCTTCTTTTTCTGCTCTGTAGTCCAAAAACATTTCTCTAAAAGCCAGAAAATCTGTAAAGGTGAGCAGCCTGTCAAATATGTCACCAGCCACTTCATCTTTATGATGCTGTAATGTTGTGGTGAAAGCTGCCATGCTGAATCCAGGAATCCGCTCCAGCAGCTGTTCTTCAACATATTTTTCTACCAGAGAAATGTATTCATTAAAAATAGGTGTGTAGGTGAGTTTATTCTCCTCTGTGTCTTCAAACCCCAGGTAGTACTTGTCCATGAAATTTCTCTGTAATAACTGGAACTCGTCATCCATGATAATGTCCTCTAAATATCCAACCACAGCATCAAATTCTGCATCAGAGGCGGAGGAGAAAGGCAGCGCAAAGCTCTCTTCTTTTAAGGCATCCATCGCTACCACCCCATGTAGGCTCCTACCCCACCCGCGGCCCACCCACACACAGAGCACGGCGGCTAGCCGGGTTAAGGCCTCGCAGCCAAGGCCGGCCGCTCACTGCCCAGCCCTGGGTACCCGGCTGCAGCCACATGCCAGCCTGGCCTCTAGGCCCCACCTGGTGCTCTGCACTCACCGACAACGCCCTGTCCATCCATTTTCTACTGTTGGCAGTGATGAGTTTCTTTCTTTTCTTTTCTTTTCTTTTTTCTTTTTTTTTTGTTTTTTTGAGACAAGAGTCTTGCTCTTTCACCCAGGCTGGAGTGCAGTAGTTCAATCTGGGCTCACTGCAAACCGCACCTCCTGGGTTCAAGCAATTCTCCCGCCTCAGCCTCCCGAGTAGCTGGGACTACAGGGGCATGCCACTACGCCCGGCTAATTTTTTGTATTTTTAGTAGAGAGAGGGTTTCACCGTGTTAGCCAGGATGGTCTCAATCTCCTGACCTTGTGATCCACCTGCTTCGGCCTCCCAAAGTGCTTTGATTACAGACGTGAGCAACTTTGCCGGGCCTTCTTTGACTCTTTTTAAGGTAATTACTGAAGAAATCCAGAAGGCTCCTGGGGGAGGAAGGCCAAGGAGTTCGCCTTAACCTAACAGAAAGGAACATGTGTCATCAATGGATTTTAACTAGATAGAAAAGTTGTCTTTGAAAATGCCTTTGTCATATTCTTGTATAATCGTATAACAGAAATTCTTAACCATTTTAAAGAAAAGTTTTCATCAGATCAAACATCTAATTGCCTGGTTTCCTCCTTCTATATTTTGCTTGGGGCCAGGATTTTTGCAGCCCAATCTCTTAACTTCTCATCAATGAGGAAAGACAGAGACATTTAATCTTTCTTCCCATTTTTCTCCTAATGCACATAATTGTTTAGGGGGAAAAGCCTAGGAGTAATTTGGAACTGTTTTGGAGCCTCGTAGGCTTTCTAACAGAAACTTTATTCCCTGATTATTTGGAATGTCTAATTTTTAAATCTGTAGATGAAAACTGGTCTTTTGTTTCGTCAAAACTGTGTTTTGATGAAAACACCCACTAGATTTGTAAGCCCTGGGAGACCAACGGATGGCATCTAACTTGCTCAGCATTGTACACTGTACATCCATTGTACATCTTACTTGGTGCCTCTGGCACACAGTAGGTACATAGTAAATACCTTTGAATGAATATTTCTGTTATTCAGAGATTCTAGTTCTTCTGTTTAGAGGATTCTGCTTTTCCTCCATTCTCCTGCTTAACTATGCCTTCCAAGTATGGAAAAAATATATTTGTAGCACTGTTTTTCAGGTCATTTAAGAGGCTACAATAAAAACTGGTTATATAGGGCCGGGCATGGTGGCTCATGCATGTAATCCCAGCACTTTGGGAGGCTAAGATGGGCAGATGACTTAAGGCCAGGAGTTCAGGACCAGCCTGGCTAACACTGCAAAACCCTGTCCCTACTAAAAACACAAAAATGAGTTGGGCATGGTGGCACATGCGTGTAATCCCAGCTACTCAGGAGACCGAGGCAGGAGAATCACTTAAATGCAGGAGGCAGAGGTTACAGTGAGCTGAGACCATGCCACTGCACTGCATCCTGGGAGACAGAGCAAGACTCTGTCTCAACAACAACAACAACAAAATGAGCCGGGCATAGTGGCTCATGCCTGTAATCCTAGCAGTGTGGAAGGCTGAGGCGGGCAGATCACCTGAGGTTGGGAGTTCGAGACCAGCCTGACCAACATGGAGAAACCCCATCTCTATTAAAAATACAAAATTAGCCAGGTGTGGTGGTACATGCTTGTAATCCCAGCTGCTCAAGAGGCTGAGGCAAGAGAATTGCTTGAACTTGGGAGGCTGTGGTTGTGGTCAGCCGAGATTGTTTCATTGCCTGGGCAACAGGAGTGAAACTGTCTCAAAAAAAAAAAAGATAAAAACCACAAACCTGGTTATATAGAAGAGTGTCATTTTTACCCTGTTCCGCATCAAGATTGCCTTGAAATTGAATATTTTTTTCTTTTTAAAAAATTTTTTTGGATACGGGGTCTCGCTATGTTGCCCAGGCTGAAGTACAGTGGCTATTCACAGGCATGATCCCACTACTGATCAGCACAGGAGTTTTGAGAAACTAAATATTTTAAGCTTTTCCCCTCATGCCATTTAATTTGTAATTTTTAAAATAAACGGTATTTGAAAGCTTCTAAGACGTCCCACTTTCTGCAGAATGGAACATGTAGCCAATTGAGACAGGGCTTTTCATCAAGTTCATTTTTATGCTTTGTGCATTATCCTTATACTAGAATCACAGATTTTCTCTACCTTGCCTAACAGCAGCTTGTTTCTGAAGAAAAATTTTTTAATCTTATTTTTCTTAAATGCCTTTTATGAAAACCATCAATAAAAAATTTATGATCATCTCTAATCCCCCACGGTCTCAAATTAAATTGTATCAGAAAAATTTTAAGGGAGAGAAAATTTGAAATCCGATTGTACTTTCTTAAAAAGCAGAATACTTTTAAATACTGTAAATATGGGTATTCATAGCTGACCCTTTTTTCCTGTTTCTAGGACTATCCTATTAAGTGTAATCTCACTGCTCAATGAGCCCAACACCTTCTCCCCAGCCAATGTCGATGCTTCAGTTATGTTCAGGAAATGGAGAGACAGTAAAGGAAAAGACAAAGAATATGCTGAAATCATTAGGTAAGGTGCTTTGTTTTTTTTTGTTTTGTTTTGTTTTTTGTTTTTTTAATTACCTCAAGTCATCATACAAAACCAAAATATATTCTGGAACCAAGGTTTTTACATCAAACTTAAATACCCTGTCCATTTCAGGATAATTTTCCTCTATTAGATTTATAGCGTGGGAAGAGAAGATTTCTGCCTGAGCACAATGAACTTCGCTAGATAATGCAGTAGCAGACCTGATTTTCTAGGAACCAGAACTTCTAGTCAAGTTTGCAAAGTGTCTTTTAAATCATTTTAGGGACCCTGTTCTAGAACATATTGATTAAGTGTAGCAAACACAATTACCCAAGGTATTCCAGATATTCCAGGTACATAGGGCAGAGTATCAGGTGTATGTAAGACAGAGTAATTTTGTTTTCAAAATTTGAATAAATAGGCCAGGCACAGTGCCTCATGCCTGTAATCCCAGCACATTGGGAGGCTGAGGCGGGTAGATCACTTGAGGTCAGGAGCTTGAGACCAGCCTGGCCAGCATGGTGAAATCCCATCTCTACTAAAAGTAGAAAAATTAGCCAGGTGTGCTGGTGCATGCCTGTAATCACAGCTAATCAGGAGGCTGAGGCAGGAGAATTGGTTGAACCCAGGAGGTGAAGGTTGCATTGAACCAAGATCGCACCACTGCACTCCAACCTGGGCAACACTCCGTCTTAAAAAAAAAAATTGAGGCCGGGCGCGGTGGCTCAAGCCTGTAATCCCAGCACTTTGGGAGGCCGAGGCGGGTGGATCACAAGGTCAAGAGATCGAGACCATCCCGGTCAACATAGTGAAACCCCGTCTCTACTAAAAATACAAAAAATTAGCTGGGCATGGTGGCACGTGCCTGTAATCCCAGCTACTCAGGAGGCTGAGGCAGGAGAATTGCGTGAACCCAGGAGGCGGAGGTTGCAGTGAGCTGAGATCACGCCATTGCACTCCAGCCTGGGTAACAAGAGTGAAACTCCGTCTCAAAAAAAAAAAAAAAAAAAAAAAATTGAATAAATAAACCTTTCTGGTTTCTTGGTATTCCTGACCATAGCAGCAAGTATCTTGGAAATCCTCATTATCAGCAACAGTAATTTGTGTTATAACAGAGCCCTAGAATAAGATTCAGGGATTTGGAATCTACTAGTAGCTATGCTATTATGATAAATGGTCCCACGAATAATGGGTCCAAAATGGTTAATTTTTGGGGTCTTTTACTTTCTTCTCTATGTAAAATGGAAAAAAGCTCAACCTTTAATCCCTTAGGACATCAGGTTCTTATAATAGTACCCCAAAAATTTGTGATAAATACAAACCCTATCCTTCCCCCACTCTCCTCCTCTTTATTTAAATTATTATTATTATTTTGTACACTCTTACTCTGTCACCCAGGCCAGAGCGCAGTGGCACGATCTCAGCTCACTGCAACCTCCGCCTCTTGGGTTTAAGCGATTCTTCTGCCCCAGCTTCCTGAGTAGCTGAGATTACAGGCACCCACCACCATGCCCGGCTAATTTTTTGCATTTTTAGTAGCGACAGGGTTTCACCATGTTGGCCAGGTTGGTCTCAAACTCCTGACCTTGTGATCCAGCCACCTCGACCTCCCAAAGTGCTGGGATTAACAGGCGTGAGCCACTGCACCCAGCCTTCTCCACCTTTTTTTAAAGAAACATGGTCTCCCTCTGTTGCGCAGGCTGGAGTGCAGTGGTGTGATCACAGCCCATGATAACCTGAATTCCTGGGCTCAGGCAGTCCTCCCACCTCAGCCTCTCAAGCAACCAAGACTATAAGCATGTACCACCACACCCAGCTAATTTCTATTATTGTTTTTTGTAGAGACGAGGTCTTGCTATGTTGCCCAGCCTGGTCTTGAACTCTTGGCTTCAATTGATCCTCCTGCCTCAGCCTTCCAAAGCTCTGGGATTACAGATGTGAGCCACCAGGCCTGGCCTCAGCCCCATTTGATGTTAGATTTTTATTTCTTAAAATACGGACCCTAAATACAGTTACAGCTTACTTTGTGCATAGGAGTTCAGTAAGCACTGGCATTTATACAAATAAGAGTAAATTCTAGTTGGCTAGAGACCAAGTGATATGAAAAAAGAACAATGCTGGGAAAGCACATGAGTTTTCTGCCCATTGGGATCACCTTTAGACTGTCCCTAAATGATAGCTATCTTTTATGGGATTACAAGGACAGAGTTTGAGCATCTGTATGTGTGTATATATCTCAACTAGGTTACTGATACATACCAAAAATTGAAGATAATTAGTATAAATAGTAAGGTCCTACAGAAATCTGGAGGCGTGGTAGTGTACTAAGGATTGAAGGATCAGAAAGCTTATGTATACATACTCTTAAGGTACTT